GACTCCCAAGGCATGCTCCCTTCATCATTTGTTCCATTGTCCACAATAGCTGGCTGTCACCGTTCTCTACTGGTTTCCATTCCATACTTATTCAGTTGGCGACACCATGAGTGAGAGACCAGGAGCTCTCAGATGAGGAATAAAGCAGGAGCAGAATGGAATCACTGCTAATGTACCGTGCTGTCTCACTTCACCAATGTCTCCAGTTGTCTCTGCATGTGCACATATGTGATGTTCAAGACATGGGGTGGCACATTTGGTAACACTACCATCGCTTTTGTGCAGGTTGTGATAAAATTCAGGAAGAATTTCAAAAATGTTTTCTGGAAGCACTCTTAATTCTAGGATTCATCATTTTGATAAGAGTGAACACCTTTTCAGTGAGAGGATTAGGGAGGTTTCCATTTCTCAGTAGTCATTTTAACTAGCTTATTTTTAAAAATCAGCCACTTTATGCTTTATTTATTGGAGTTTTAAGTTTTGTTGAAGTTTGATAACTGTAATCAAATGTGTTTTGGGTATTTCATTTTCCTCAAAGCTTTTTTTCTGTATTTTTTAATGTGTATACTTTATATCAATTGAAGATGACTTCATGGTTGTCAGTGTGTGTGTGTGTGTGTGATTTTATAGTTTTTCCTGGTCTTGAAATTTTCACCTTGCAAAATCACAAAATCCAATTTTGATAACTCCAATAACTTGTTTATTTTCCATTCTCTTAGTTTTTTATTATCTCAGTCTCATCTCTTGATAAGCCTGCTGTTTTTTAATGAATTTTGGACACAGTATATAAAAGATGGTAGAGATAATTTTAGGCTATGCCATTTTCTTTTAAAAGGATTTCTTTTGCTTCTTATAGGCAGAATCAGTTGGATCTGATTCACAGATTTGCCTTAAGACTTTGTGGGGGCTGGCCTATTCCTACATCATCCCTATTCAAAGATGTAGTTGTCAGGGGTCCCACATGTGAAAGCCCTGTTTTTTTTTGTTTTTTGTTTTTTTTTAACTTTCTCTTTCATAGGCCCTGAACTGCAGTTTTGGTTCGCCCAGTGCAATAGGCTGGCAGATGATCCCTGCAGCTTCACAACCTTCCTGGTTATGCTCAGTTTTTCATTCTTTCAGCACCCTCTACCCCCCTTTGGAAATTAACAAATGCCTCAAAGGAAAAAGCAGCTCTAAATATTAAACTTACCTCCTTGTGCTTTTCTTCTCTCTCTAGATCTTTGTCCCTTATGTCCTCACAGCTATGGTAGCTCTCTAATGTCTGCAGATAGATTATTTCTTCTTTTTTTTTTTTTGTCCCAGTGTACCTAGTTCTAAGTGAGAAGATTAGTTTGCAACAAGCTATTTAGCCATTGTTGGAGTCTCACCTGTATTTGAAAGTAAATATTCAGATATTAAATGCCTTGTTTGCATTGTATTATATTATAGTAATTTGTGCAATCATAGGATCATTTATAATATAGAAGTTCAGGAATGCCAAAGATAAGCTATTATTACAGAATGATTGACTATAATATATTCCCTATCCTGTACTAAAGTTACATCTTGTGACTATTTTGTAGCTATCAGTTTATACTTCTCAATTTATTTATCTTTTTCACCCAATTTCCCAACCCTCTTCTGCCCTGGCACCCATTAGTCTGCTCTTTGTATCTATGAGTCTGTTTCTATTTTGTTTATTTTATTCTTTATGATTCCACATATAAGTGAAATTATATTGTATTTGTCTTTCTCTTTGTGACATATTTTACTTAGCATAATGGCCTCTATATCTATCCATGTTACAAATGGTAAGATTTAATTCTTTTTCCCTTCTTTTTTATGGCTGAGTAATATTCCATTGCATATAGGTACCATAACCTTTTTATCCACTATCTATTGTTGGGCACTTGGATTGCTTTCAGTTCTTGTCTAAATAATGCTGCAGTGAACATAGGGGTGCATGTATCTTTTCCAATTAATGTTTTGGGTCTCTTTGGATATATACTCCAAAGTAGAATTGCTGGGTCATACAGCAGTTCCATTTTGAATTTTTTGAGGAACCTCAATACTATTTTTCATAGTGACTGCACTAGTCTGCCTTTCACCAGCAGTGCCTGAGGGTTCTCTTTTCTATACATTTCACCTTGTTGTTTTCTGATTTATTAATGACAGTCCTTCTATCATGTGGGAGGGGATATCTCACTGGCTTTACCTTGCATTAGTGATGTTGAGCATTTTCATATGTCTGTTGGTCATCTGTATGTTCTCTTTGGAGAAGTGTCTATTCAGGTTGGCCGCCCATTTTCAATTGGATATTTTTCATGTTGAATAGTTTGGATATTAACCCCTTATCAGATGTATCATTGGTGAATATTCCATCCCATTTAGTAGGGTTTTTGTTTTTTTCCTTTTGTTGATTTTTTTTTTCTCTCTATAGAATCTTTTTAATTTGATTTAGTCCAATTTGTTTATTTTTTCTTTTGTTTGCCTAAGGAGATAGATCATAAAAATGTTGTTAAGAGAAATGTCAGAGGTTTTACTGTCTGTTTTCTTCTAGGAATTTTATGGTTTCGAGTCTTACATTTAAGTCTTTGATTCATTTGAGTCTCTTCTTGAATATGGTGTAATAAAGTAGTCTAGTTCCTTTTTTTTGCACGTATTTTTCTAAATTTCCCAGCTTTTATTGCCAGTCCCATTCAGTTTTTCTTATTATAGCCTGGAAGTATAGTTTGATATCAGGTAGCCAGATTAATTTTTAATTTATTGATTTTTATTCATTTATTATTTATTATATATCATATATATGCTAAAGGCTCGGTGCATGAATTTGTGCACAAGTGGTGCCCCTCGGCCTGGCTGGTGATCGTGGCCTATCAGGAGGCTGGCCAGCAAGGGTGAGGGACTGTGGGGAAGTTGGTTGGCCAGGGGGAGGGACCGCGGGAGGTTGGCCAGCCACCCCCAGATCAGGGCCAATGGGGAGACTAGCTAGCTGAGGAGAGGGTTCCATGGGAGGTTGGCTTGCTGCCCAAGGGGGAGAGCCTTGGGAGGTTGGCAGGGGGTGGGAGTGGAAAAGGGCTGTAGGAGTTTGGCTGGCCGGGGGTGGGGAGGGGCCACAGGAGGTTGGCCTGATCTTGTGGTCTGGGGGGAGGGACCATGGAAGATGGGCTGTGGGAGTGCACTGACCACCAGGGGCAGCTCTTACGTTGAGTATCTGCCCTCTGGTGGTTAGTGTGCGTCATAGTGACTGGTCAACTGGTTGTTAGGTCATAACAGTTGCTTACTGGTTGTTCGGTGTATCATAGTGACTGGTTGACTGGTTGTTCTGTGGTAATGGTCGCTTAGGCTTTTATATATATATACACTAGAGGCCTGGTGCATGAATTCGTGCATGGATGGGGTCCCTTGGCCTGACTGGTGATCAAGGCTGATCAGGGCCACGGGAGGTTGGCCACGGGAGGTTGGCCACGGGAGGTTTTGATCGGGTTTATTGGGGCCAGCCAGCTGGGGGGAGGGGCTGCAGGAGGTTTTAATTGGGACCATCAGGGGCCAGTTGGCTATAAGGAGGGACCACAGGAGGTTGGCTGTAGGAGTGCACTGACCACCAGGGGGCAGCTCCTGCATTGAGCATCTGCCCCCTGGTGGTCAGTGTGCATCCTAGTGACTGGTTGACCTGTTGTTCAGTTGTTTGGTTGCGTAGGCTTTTATATATATATGTAGATACCAGTGGCCCATTGCACGAAATTCATGCATGGGGGTGGTTCCCTCAGCCCAGCCTGCAACCTCTCCAATTGAGGATATCCCTCTCGCAATCTGGGATCACTGACTCCTAACCGCTCACCTGCATGCCTGCCTGATGACCCCAAACCTGTCTGTCTGCCTGACTGCATGATCTTGCCCACAACTACTCTCCCTTGACAGCCTGATTTTGCCGCCAACTGCCTCTGCCTGCCTGATCACTGTTGGCCAGGCCCCGAGAGAAAGAGAGAGGCAAGGGATGATCGACATGGAGGCTACGGATCAGACCCTGCCTCTCCCTCTGGATCTTCAGGTCTGATCCGCAGCTCCCTTGGCAATCAGTGCTGGGTCACTGGAGGGGGAAGTGGCTGGACCTGAGTTTTGGAGAATAAATAGGACATTAATGGGCAGAAGTGTGTGGGTCTTCTGAAAAGAGGGACGGATTAAAGAAAATGAGAATAGAATGGAATATGAAGTATGTTTGGAATATGGACGAGACAGATTCTGAAACAGAAAGTCTGAAGAAATAGGAAGTGGCTTCATGAGGCAGGACCACATTTTGGAGGATTCTGAAAGCCAGGCAGAGAAATAATTCTTCATTTATAAATTAGGTGTTTTTAATGCAAATAATAGGATAAGTACACTTACAAAATAAGCCTGTGTCAAAGCTTGCTGTATAGGATCATTTTTCATGTGCTTATGTTGATCTTACATGTTCATTTTCCTTTGTTCCGAGAGTGCACTGTATCATGATTCATATCAACTAATCTAAGACACATTCTTTGAGTTTGGTCTTGCAGCTGTCATTCTAAGCAGGTGATTTTTGGAATGATGATAGAGGTTCATAACCTCACCTCAGAGAGAGATTTTAAGTTTCATATTGTGGATCAGGCTAGAACTGCTATCTTTCAGTCCTATTTTTCTCCTTTTCTGCTGTGCCCGCTCTCTAAATCATAAATATTAGTTTCCTTGCTTGCCTTAAGCAGATGAAGTATGCTAAATACGGGTAGATGGCATGAACTGTTCTGTTGTCTCTCGATGAGCATGTAGGATAGGGCCTTACTGAGAGCTGAATGGAGTAGTAAGTGCAGGCTCAAACATTATTTCATATGAGCACCATGCACAGGCTGCTGTGCAATGACGTGGAAGCCAGAGCCTTCCTGAGTTCAGGATGGTTGGCTCTTTAGAAATGGCACTTTCATCCCATCCTACAAGGGGATTTTAGAGAACTGAGCCTTTTTCTTGGGCTTTCCTGTGAAGTTGTATTTTTTTTATATTTCTAGGGGACTCCTTCTCACAGTTCCGGTTTGCTGAGGAGAAAGAGTGGGATGGTGAAGCTTCATGTCCAAAGCAGGTAAGATGGTTTGTGTTGAACGTGGGGGGTTGGCTCTTTTCAAGTCTGGAAACTAACACCTCTGATATTATTGTTGAACTAGAGTCTTTATGTAGGAAAAACTTTAGTAATTCATGGACAGTTTAGTCTCAATTACCTCAATTGCTCAGAACATTTTTAGGGAGCTTACATTTTACAGGTCCTCGGAGCTAGAGTTAACCTTTACACTTGCCCATCTGTGTGACTTGCTCACAGACTAGGTTGCAAAGGAGAAAGCTGAGAGTGTCTATTTTTAGTGGACTACTTTGCCATTTGGGCTTCCTTCTTTTCCATTTCTGAAAATTCCTCTTAGGGTTGAAAATTAATTTTCCCTCCACATTGTTTTTGATGTTGAGAAAAATCCTTTACTTTATAGCTTTAAATAACTCGTCTTCCAGAGTTATTTAGGTGAATAAAGCTATAAAAAAAGAACAAATATCATATATGTCTTTCAGTGAATCCATAAAGCCCAGATATTTATTTGCTTTGTGTTCATGCTATGTTTTCCTCCTTAGGAATTTTGATTATTTTTTCATGCACGATTTCACTGATTTTTTCTTATGAAAGATAACAGATATTTTCACACCTTTAAGATGCACAGAGAGCCAAAACCGGTTTGGCTCAGTGGATAGAGTGTCGGCCTGCTGACTGAAAGGTCCCAGGTTCGATTCTGGTCAAGGGTTTGTACCTTGGTTGTAGGCACATTCCCAGTGGGGGGTGTGCAGGAGGCAGCTGATCGGTGATTCTTTCTCATCGATGTTTCTAGCTCTCTATTCCCTCTCTCTTCCTATCTGTAAAAAATCAATAAAATATATTAAAAAAAAAAAAAGATGCACAGAGAATTGTTGGTGGCTTGTCATGTACTCTCTGATTAGATCCCAGGGATTAGACAGTCTCTCCAGCCTCAGGCTGAGCAGCGGCCCCAAAGCCCAAAGGCAAGGCACCCTCCTCCCCACTCTGTCAGCAGCTCAGTACACACACTGCAGGCGGCTCATCTTATGGCTGGGCTGGAGTTGTGTTTAGTTGTGTGAGATGGACATTGTCTTATACAAATTGAGGAGATACTGTAAAAGTACTGCTTGTAACTTTGCAAAGGGAATTAAAAGTATTTGTTTCCGCCTCTTTGGGCATATACATGAGATATAGTTTAGAGTTCTAGGACAAGTTGAAATCACAAACCAAGGTCATTGATGAATGTGGTGAAAACCAAACAACTCATTTTGACTCCTTTTGTATTTTCAAAAAATTGATTTTTAGAGAGAGAAATGGAGGGAGGGAGGGAAGGAGGTGGAGAGAGAGATACGAGAGAGAAACATGGATCAGTTGCCTCCTGCACGTGCCCTGACTGGGGAGTGAAGTCACAACCTAGGTCCTAGAATGTGCCCTGACCAGGAATCTACCTTCTGCTGCATGCGGTGATGCTCCAGCCAACCGAGTCAAGCTAGGTCCTCAGAGGACATCCTTATGGGAGAGGGACCCAGCGCCCTCCTGCTGACTTGCCTTCGCTTCTTTGTGCTCAGGTGCAGGCTGACAGGGATGGTGGCCTGGCGGCAGGGTCGGTGCTTAGCCGTGCTGGCTCCGTCACTATAGGGAGTTTCCCCTGAGGTCCATGAGTGGGATTTTCATGTCTTTCCTTTGGACATTGCGGGACATGTGTGGAGAGAAAGGGCAGAAGGAGAACTTCTTTGGGTGAAAATATAGATGTTTTTTTAAAAATCACTTTTTTTTTCTTTCTATTCATCTTTCATTTTTGTTGACATAATGACTTGTTCAGCAGAGCTTCCCTGAGGGAGTGTTGCATGCTTGCTGGGCCAGATGCAGTGGTTCCTGAGCCTGCCTTCTAAAGGTGTAGCCCCCAGATCCCACTCCAGACTCTGGCTCTGAGCGAGGCTGAGAATCTGTGTCTGGAAAGCTCCCCAGACTGGGGTCCCTGAGTCCCACATGAATGTGGCCAGTGCTTTGGCTCCTAGGAAAGTGGGCTGGGCTGAGGAAAGGCTATGGTGACTGCTCTCAGAAAGGAAGAAGAGTAGAACTAAAGGAAAGCAGTGCTGGACTTTTTTTTTTAAAGCTGCAAAGTGGAGTTTCTAGCAGGTTCTTTCCTCACCAAGTACTGTACCTTTACACAGACTCAGAGACTCGGAGCATAATGAGGTTCCTGGACAGAGCGGAGCTGCAGGATTAGATTCTCACTCCCCAGACAGGCTTCTGTGCACACTGAGGGCAGAGGTGGGGATAGGAAGGGGGATTGTCTGAGTTGGGCTGCTCCCCTCTGTCAGCAAGGACTGTGCAGGAGAGAAGACACCAGGGTGTCCCATTGCAGACCAGGCTGTGACTCCAGCTGCGAGTGACCATCAGAGTTGGCCAAGTAGGTTATGGAGACTGTGCTCTCCGGGCAAAAAACCCTGTGAATTATTTTAAAGCTAATTCATGGTTATTATTCCAGTTAAACCTATTTTCAAGTTCACGCTTTACTCAATTTACTTCATTCCGCTTTCTATCTAAGGCTGTCAACTTTAGCCCTTTAGGGAGACAGTGTTACAGTGGTGTTTGATGCCAGGCTCCTGGCTCCGGGACTCCAGCGGGGAGACAAGGAGCAATCGCCCTGGTGGCTCCAAGTGTCTTGGGCATCATGGAGGCGGGACAGTGTCAGCTGGGCCTTGGGTGACGGTGGGGATTAGAAATGTGGGGGGAGGAGACATTCCAGCAGCAAACACAGCCAAATGCCCAAAATTCAGAACGCAGCTCACAAGCACAGCAGGCCGTCCGCGTATCTCTGTGTGGTCGTCTCACAGACTCCTCTTTGTTTATGATGCCCCTTACAGTCATGCTGCACATGATGCACAAGAGGGCGGAGGAAGTTTGGATACTTTTAGCCAGAGCCCAGCACGCCTCAGCGGTTCTCCTGAGAGCTGATAGCAACAGGTCGCAGAGGGCAAGTTCTCGCTCTTTGTAGGCTGAATGAAGGGGGTATACTCATGTACTTTGCAGACCCCGTGGCTGTGGGGAGGGTGAGATTTCCAGGTTGTAATTTGCTGACTGACCCAGGTGTCAGGATCACACCTTCCTAGTGGGCTGCGGGAGTTTCTCCAAACTGGGGAACAGGAGCTTGGCCATGCTGGGTGTGACCAGAGCACGTGGGTGCTGAGGTCAGGGCTGAGGAAGGGCTGACACCTACTGAGTTTCTCAGGGCTTCCTTACCTCCATCCTGTTCCCCAAATACTCTTTTACTTTTTTAAAGATTTAAATTTAACTTTCCCAGGACTAGGGGCCCCAATTGGTGTGTCAGCATTGCTTCCCGAATAAGCCAGCCATCTTCGGAAAATTTCAGCAGGGTGTCGAAAAGCCACTTTGTTTCTTGTGATCTGTGTGCCGTGGTGGGGATTAGGGCTAGAGTGGGTCTGGGTTTCATTTCGGGGCCCTTCTTGAGCACAGCAGGAATGATGGAGTATTTCCATCATAAACTCCTCTGCCCGAGACATTCCTGCGGTGGGATCGAGGTTAGACTGGATAGAGGAGTGCTGGGTTTTCTCTAACTTGATGTCGGAGATGATAGACTAAGATGTGCTTCCAGCTGTGCTGTCCTTGGTAGATGAGGTGTCAGCGGTGTTTGCCTCTAATGCAGTGGTCAGCAAACTAGTCAACAGAGCCAAATATCAACAGTACAACGATTGAAATTTCTTTTGAGAGCTAAATTTTTTAAACTTAAACTTCTTCCAACACCACTTCTTCAAAATAGACTCAATCAGGCCATGGTATTTTGTGGAAGAGCCACACTCAAGGGGCCAAAGAGCCGCAGTTTGCCGACCACAGCTCTAATGTGAAGTCATTGTAACCACCTTCTAGTTTTTTCCTTCTGTTGGCTGCCAGGGCTCCCAGAGCAGCTGCTATGCTATTGGTAAACCAGGTGGTAATCTGGAATGCTTTTTCAGATACTGTCAGTTTGGGAGGTCACTGTATGGGTATGAATGGGAAGGGAGTCAAAGGGAGCTTTTAGTGTTGGCCACACACAGCATGCTGACTGCTCAAGGGTGAGTTTCCATCCTCTGCTTGCTTTCTTTCTTTCTTTCTTTCTTTCTTTCTTTCTTTCTTTCTTTCTTTCTTTCTTTCTTTCTTTCTTTCTTTCTTTCTTTCTTTTTTTAATATATTTTATTGATTTTGTACAGAGGAAGGGAGAGAGATAGCGATTTAGAAACATCGACGAGAGAGTGTCATTGATCAGCTGCCTCTTGCATACCCCCTACTGGAGATGTGCCCGCAACCAAGGTACATGCCCTTGACCGGAACTGAACCCGGGACCCTTCAGTCCCCAAGCCAATGCTCTATCCATTGAGCCAAACCGATTTCGGCTCCATCCTCTGCTTTCTTGTTAGCAGGTACCTCACAGGCTCCTTGGACCTGCCTCTCAACCGTCACCATCTTACTGCCTAGACAGCTCTTCCTTCCTCTCCTGAGGGTCAGCACCTGCATTTGAGAATCCACTTAGATTCCACGGAATGCTAATTTTTCTTTCAGTTTGCAGTAAGTCCGAGAGTGTCCGGTTTCCAGGTTATTGTGCATTCCTGACAGTGGGGTGCGCTCTCCCCGCTGCTGCTTCAGCGGCGTGAGCTGTGGCTTAGGAAGGTGGTGCTTGGTTCTGCTCATCTTAATGCAGAGGTGATAGGTATAACCATATCAACCGTATCAAGTGTGATCTATGATCTGACTTACTCCCAGCTAAAGTAACTCCAGAGGGAATTTATTTCCGTCTTCTCTTTCATTTCTAGAAGGTCACATGTAATAATCACCAGGAATACATATGTATATGTATGATCTATGTATCTTTCTTATTTATTTATAGAATTCAGCATTTTATGTGGACTGTGAGTCATTGGTTCAAGCCCTTCAAGAACTGCCTCTCTCCCTCCGACTCAATGTTGCTGCTGAATTGGTCCAGGTAAAAGCCCTGATGGCATCTTTGAGCTGGCATGGGTTAGGGCAGGAGAAGGAAGAGTGAAAAATAGCCCCTGGCAGGATGTCTCAGACTCAGCTTTTCCTTTTATGAAGCTGAGGGTTTTTTATCAGGTAGCACTTTGTAAAGCTTTAAGGGAGAATGAGTTAATTTTCTAAAGGTTTTTTTTTCTTTTACATTTTATAGTTGAAACATTTTAAAGAATTAGATGTAATGGAGTTTAATGAAATGTAAAAGTATAAAGTCTGGCTGGTACAATATTTATGTTTGGTACTAAGGAAGCAGTGGTTGAGTAAACAGACATGGTTCCTGCCCTTGTGGGGCTTAATCTATTGGGAAAGGTGGGTATTAAACAGATTATCACACAAAAGTACAAATCGTGATAACTGCTAGGAAGGGCTAGCTAGCACAGTGTACTGTGGGATTATGTAACAGTGAACCTGATCTACTCTGCTGTGATTAGGAATGGATTTTCTGAGGAAGGGACAGATAAGCTGAGACCCAAGGTAGGAGGCCATTTGAATTGGAATTTAGACAAGGATCTGATTAACAGCACTGCTGATATTAGCAAGAGCGTGCTGGCTGTGGATGGCACGTGGGCCGCGGGGTTGGGGTGGGCGTGTTTATTGGTTAATCCAAACTTACAAGAGAGGAAAAGAGGGGATGCAAGTTGGGAGGCTGTTGCTCGGGTCTAGGCGAGCTTGGAAAGGGTGATGATGAGAGAGGTGGCACAGAATCGGAGTTTTCTAAGAGGAACTTCCAAAGAAAAATTAAGAGGACTCAGAGAATGAAATGGAGAGAGAGTGGGCAAAGAATTACTCTAGGTTTTTCTCCAGCTTGTGCAACACTGCTAGGTGGGACCAGGAGGGGTGAGGTTGGGATATTAGAGATTTGTGCCTCTGAGATATGAAAGTGAAAATAGGAGTCAAATAGACATAGAGATTTATAGTTCAGAATTAAGGGCTGGAAATAGAAATTGGGGAGGTGTTCCTGTAAGATAGTGATTGAGAGGGACGAACTGTATATAAGGAGCTTCAGAATTTAAGAGTGGCTCGCTTGACTTTTTAAATAAGTGAAACCCTGGGTTGTACTAGTTTTAAATAGAATCCCAGAAGCTAAAATGGTTAACTTTGCCCTTCATTTGAATGGGATGCTGTTTCTATTGCAATCACTAGTCTCACATTTAGGGCAGCAAGCAGGAGGAGAGTAAGGGCAGAGAAGTAGAGGGATTTCACTGGCCTCTGATGGGAATCACTGTTCTGTAGGAATGTGGGGTGCATTTGGGGTTGTGACTGAGAGAGGCCGGGTGTCCCAGTGTTCAGGGTTCTGACATGTTTGGTTTGGTCCCACACGATGAAGAATGGTTAAACAGAGCACACAGGGAACCACAGAGATGAAGGAACCACAGAGATGGGGACCCAGGACTCAGGAGAGAAACAGGAAGTGTTGTGAGCATTTGAAAGTGAAGGATGTATTGGTGGTAGGCCTTAGAGTAAAGGTAAATAATAACTGCAATAACTTTGAAAACCAGGCCAACTTTGTTTTCAAACACCCCCCCCCCCCCCTTTCTGTGCCATGATGCACAGCAGTTATTCTCAACTGTGTTTCTATATCAGAACCTCCCAGGCAGGTAATAAACAACCAAACCAGGTGTCCAATTCCAGACACCCGGAAGCGAAATCCCTGGACTGGAATAGAGGACCACATTCCGGCTTCGTCCTGCACACTGACAGTATGAACATTTACGTTTGTGCGTCTAGTCATACTGTCAGAGGCCTGAAGAGTTGTTAGCAAATTGGATCTGCTCAGGGTGCTTACATGTCCAAAGAGGGGATGGTGCTGCCAATAGTGGCCGACCTTCATTCTAAACCTATCCACTCTGATGCCGTGTTGGTCACAAGGCCTCCTGCAGGACGTTGTTCTCAGCCTAAATCTGCATTGCAATTACCTGCAAAATTTTACCTTTTATTACATCACTAGAGGCCTGGTGCACAAATTTGTGCATGGGTAGGGTCCCTCAGCCTGGTGGGCGATCAGGGCCATCTTGCCCAGTCCTGATTGGGGCAGTCCAGGGGGAGGGACTGCAGGAGGTTGGCTGGCCACGGGAGGTTGGCTGTGGGAGTGCACTGACCACTAGGGGGCAGCTCCTGTGTTGAGCATCTGCCCCCTGGTGATCAGTGCACATCATAGCAACTGGTCGACTGGTGATTTGTTTGTAATAGCTTTTATACATATAGATAACGTAGAGACAGAAAAGTGCATGCAAAGGCAGTACTTACCATTGACTTAGCATCAAATTAAGAATCAGAATGTTGCCCATGCTGCTTAAGTCACCATTTCCTCATTCCATCATTTCCTCATTTCCTCATTTGACTGCTAATGCTAAAGATCAGTTTTGCCTGCTTTTGGCTTTTACAAATGCAATCAAATAGTATGTTTTTCTTTCACGTCTGACATTTTTGTTTTCAATTTGCCTCTTCACTTTATATTAGTGCTTTCAAGTACAATGAACAGATCTGATTTGCTAGTTACCTCTTGGTCCTTTTCCAGAGTTTAAATTTAGCTCTCATCACAGACTTTAGTGTACCTTCGGTAGACCTGTGGTACTGTGATTTCTCAGGCCTGAGAGAGGACATGGCCCTTTTGATTTCAACTTCGAGGCAGTCAGCACAGAGCTGAGTGGGCGGTACAGCCCTGTTATGTGTCAGTGAGGTCGCCCGCATTTACCCCATGTTAGTCAGGAGGGTGCTGTGACAGGCCCCACCGGACACCCTTTGTGAACTTCCTGTCCGATTCTAAGGCAGTTTGATGGCTTCTTTAGCTTCTGTTTCTGTTTGAGCAAATGGCACAGAACTCACATTTCCAACTCGGTTATTATGCTTCTCTTTCAGACCACCCTTCCTTTAGAGCTTCCTCAGGTGAAACCAAAGAGAAACGATGAAGGCAAGGGAGTAGGCATGCCGCTAAGAGGGCCCCTGGGGCCTGGAGGAAAGGGGTCCGTGTCTGAGCTGAAATCTGCTGCTGCTGGCTGCCCCGGGGCCCTGGGTAAAGCTGGCCCCGGACCAGGCCCTTCAGAGGGCTCCCAGGAAGCTGCCCCACAGCAGCCAGCAGCGGACCATCTAGAGGAAGAATTAGACCTGCTGCTCAGTTTAGATGCACCTGCAAAAGCAGGAGCGAACATCTTACCAGACCAGATGCCTCAGGACCTGGAATCTGAGAAAGACGGGGAGGTGCTGGCTCAAGAAGAAAAAGGTACGGTTTTCATTTTATTCCCTATCCATCTTCTTGATTCCGTGCTTTTATGAGAACAGCCTCACCCGTGTCACATCCACACACATCTCCATTGGTGCCTGACATCACTCTGGCGGCATCCACTGACATGTTTCTGTGCTCCCGTCTCCGCTTCCTCCACCTGACCTTTCTGACAACATTCCTCTCTCGATAGAGCTGCTACCTTGCCTGATCGCAGTGTTAAATATGGGGCTGTGAACTGAACGTGAACTATAAACTGGCCTTGAGATATTTGTAGCCCTCAGCTGTGCGGCAGCAGACCTTTTAACCGGCTGTCTGAACAGCCCTGTTAACCAGCTCTTCCTTCGTCTTACTGCTTTGATCTTGTTTTTTACAAGAGAAGGACACTTTCTTGTGTGTGCGTGTTCCCTGAGGCGGTGGCCCATCTGATGTGGAGAGGCCCAACGTGAGGCCTCAGCGTATGCCTTACTACTCTCCAGGATTGCTACAATAGTGCACGGAAAACCGAGCATTGGTCTTTTTAACAAACTAGTGAACTGTGAAATTCAACTTGAGAATGAATAGAGGGCAAATTTCTACCCTGTTCATTTGTTTGGGTATTATTGTATCTCCTTAGGGAGTAGAAACAACAATGGGATGTTTTCCCTTGCTTTAAGCAAAGTAATAATTATGGCTGAATTAGATCATGGAACAACGTCCGGGGAAGCTGTCACCCTCTGTCCTGGGCCTAACGTGAAGTTGTTAACATTGCCTTTCTCCTCCTAGTTCCTGCAGAACCACCTGTGGCGGAAGTAAAGATTGTGGAACCCAAGCAACCAAGCACATCCAAAAATGTTACCGAGGAAGAGCTGGAAGACTGGTTGGACAGTATGATTTCCTAACGAAAAAGAGGAAGAAAAACACGCCTGACGTGGAAGGCCGGGCCCATGGCTGTCCTTGAGAGCAGCTGGCTTACGAGCTTGCCCAGTGCCTGTGTGTTCCATCAGCTCACACAGTGCACACCTACCTCTGTGTTTGACAGCAGCCACAGGAATACATGACGAGGCTCGGGGCATTTTTCTCTGACTTAGTCATCTCAGACACAGGGAGGGCGGAGATGCGCTTGTTGCCAGCACAGCAAGTGCCGCTGCTGAAGAGAGCAAGCAACCGGGCATGCATTTGGCGAAATAAATCAATGCTGGTCTGAGGAGTGTTTGCCCTTTTTGTGAAGGGGTTTAGGGGTTCTCTTTGTCTCATGTCCCTTTCCCAGCAGCCACAGTGTGGTTGTAGAATCATCCAGAGGTGATGAATTACAAGAGGCCAAACCACGGATCGGCACGTATCACTTTATTGCAGTGGGTACTTCATTTTACTTAAGATTCACCTAAACATAGTGGCTCCACTACTTAAGAGGGACCATAAAGCATTACTCAATTTGGCATCAGATTGAGATTTTTCTGAGTTTTCAGTACAGTACTTTTCTTCTAATAACAGCAATCGACAAGCTGTTACTGAGAGAAAAATTATATGAATAACCTTCAAGTGCAGTTTCTTAAAGTAAGACAGAAGATCAACACAATTATTTAATGGGACTGTCCCTCTGGAACATAAACATAAAAAACTTGCATAGCTATATCTAAAGAGGTTTTAAGGCACTTAATCGATATTTCAGTGTCGACAAAGTGTTGGTTTTTCTGTTTTCTATTTCTTTAACTGGTTAAAGCTTTTCAAGCTGATTCTGGGTACATTCACAAGTAAGTACCATGGGAAAAATTAGACTGCAGTTAAAATGATTTTTTGTAGTTCAGGCCATGAGTCACTCGTGGATATTGTCATGTGGCTGGCATTCAAGTGTGTAAAATTTCATGTATAATATTATGCATCCAAGACTTCAAACTTCTAGTCCCTTTTTCAATGCTGCCATCTTGACAAGCACGTTACATGAGAACAGAAAATCTTGAAGGCATTCAACTCGAGTCCTTGATTTAACATTTTGAAAGGTTATCTCCCACAGGGTTTGTCCATTAGGCATAAGAGTCCAATCAATTCCAGAATATCACAGATTTTTTTTTTTTTTTTTGTGGCTTCTTTTTGGGCTTGTTTTTACACAGATTTTTTAAACAAACTATATCTTGATGTAAGGGAGGTATTTAGAAAAATGTCACCTTTCAGAAATGTTGCATATGAAGAGTAAAAGAGGATTTTAATTTCACTTTTAAGTTGTCAGTCCTGACTCGGGGAGTGTCATTCAGGTTTATCCAAGCTGATCCTCATATTGTTTCCGGAAGCAGTCGCCAGCTGGGAAGAAATCCCAACACCTTTCTTGGTACATCTTCCAGACATAGGATTCCTGAAATAATCGGGGGGGAAAGGTACTTCTTTTTAAACCACAGTAAGCTGGAGCTCGAAAACTCTGTTTTTGCTCTATTTGCCTCCCTTTAGGAATTTTGATGTGGATTAATATGAAGCTCAGCTGGCACATTCATTCTCGTTCTGTTCACAGCCCATTTTGGCAGCAAGAGGTTTCTTCCCATTTCCTCTTCCCGAACACAGAAACCAGCTCAGTGATTGACATAAAAATACTTAAAAGATTAGCAGTCGGCTGATTCCACGTAATTTGTAATTGGTGGAAGAACGCACGATGGGGACCATGGAGGCCTGGCTGAGGTAGATTAAAGCCAGCTCCGGAAACCAGCTGCCTCTTGTAAATGCTCGAGCTGTGAAGAATTCCTACAAACCCAGTGAAGGTTGAAAACTTGGTAACCTGCCTCTTTTGCCTGTGTTCGCTGTCTTTACATCTCATATTCAATCATGGAATCCCTTTGACACACACCTTCATTCATACTCTCACACCCACCCCTCCCGTCCCTTTCCCCCACTCAAGATTATCTTTCTTATGCCATCCTCCCAGCATTTGCTCCCCCTGTTCTGTGTTCTCACCCTGTTCTGTGTTCTCACCACCCACTCAGCTCCTCATTGTCTGTAATGCTCCCAACCTCCAGCTCTTTAACTCTGAAGGGTGTGGAAAATGTCAGTGTCAGCTGGAAGGATAACCAGGACTCTTTTGGGATAGAATGGAATTGCTTTAGAATCTTGGCTTCTTAAGTGATAGTGGAGTGAGGCAGAAAGCAGTGGGGAACAGCGTGGATGCTGATGGGATCACCTGTCCCCGTCAAATAGCCTGTGCTCAGCCGATTCGATTCTTGACACTTAGGCAAAGGAAGTGCTGCTTAATTAGACTTTTCCCCTCACCTGACCCGTGTGCTCTGTTTCATCTTTGTTAATCAAATACATCAGGAAGAACCTGGAACGAGGAAAAAAGGTATAAAAAATGGGGAAAAGACAATGTTAGATACTTCCGTTGGGAAGCCTAGTTTCATTTATTAATTAAAGGAACCAGAGGAAGGGTTCAAATATGCTTTTTAGTGTCATGCTGTCGACTAGGCCTTTCTGAATTGGACAAATGTGGCATAGACTCAAACCATCGTTTTCTGATAATGTTAAAATTAGCCTTTTCATGAGAAGAGATCCTTTTTACCGTCCCCAGAGCTTAAGCTAAGATCCCTTGTGGGGAAGCATTTTCTCTACCATTTTATTGTTTTAAAATATCCTAATTCAAACAATGAAGTGGTATCCCAAACTCTTCCCGCATCATTTTCATCGTGACATAAGAATGTAGATGCTCTAGCCGGATTGGCTCAGTGGATAGAGCGTCGGCCTGTGGACTGAGGGGTCCTAGGTTTGATTCCTGTCAATGGCATGTACCTTGGTTCTGGGCACATTCCTAGTAGGTAGTATGCAGAAGGCAGCTGATAGATGGTTCTCTCTCATTGATGTTTCTAACTCTCTATCCCTCTCCCTTCCTCTCTGTAAAAAAGTCAATAAAATATATTATAAAAAAAAGAATGTAGAATTAAAATTACCAGTATTTGGTGTCAAGGATACGGGATTTTTGGAAAATATTCAAGTTGCCCCGATTCTTTCAGAAACACAGTTTTGTTTTTGTTATAGACAACTGAGCAATGCCAAGGTGGTTTCACTTGCTCAGCTGCGAGTGTCTGAGGTTTGGGTCTGTCTGGAACACACAAGCATCCCGGGAGGCCGGGCGCGCAGCTTGCATTACACGGCCTCGGAGACAGCTGCCAGAGGAGCCGGCCTCGTGCCCTTCAGGAAAAAGACTGAGCTCTTGGTGAGAACGAGAAAGTAGAAATAACTCCCTTCGGAGGGTGGGGAGAGCTAAATCCAGATTTTGAGTTCTCTCAAGGCCCCCTGAGTTTATAGCTTCAGATTGTGGCTCACAGTGGAGGCTGTAAACATATTATATATTAGTTTCCTCCTTTGTTTATCTCACTAAGAAACAGGCATGGCCAGTATCTGACCTTGTTGAAGACTTAGGCACTTTTATTTGAGAAAGCACCATTTGGGTGTTGGCGGGGGGGGGGGGGGGGGGGGGGGAGGGAGGAGGAGGAGTGTTTAAACATGAATAAGATGGGTTCTTTCCCTTCAAGCTTTCTGCTAGAGAGGCACACAGAGAGATACAGACTATTAAATATAGAAGGCTAGCAAAAGATGTAGAAGGGGTCCCAACCCAAGTACCATAATGCTCTTCCTCTCTCCTCTATTCACTTGTCCTGACATGTGGCTGTGTGTCATAGAAGGACATTCACTGGACCCCCTCCAATAAGATGCAAACTGTCTTAATGAGAACGAACAAGAATGGCTACCCAGACTTGAGGGAAGGCATACCAACGTTAGTGTTTAAAATTTTGTGTTTTTGTCTTAAGAAATTCTTAAACTGTTGTCTCTTTGACAATAACACCGTTCCCAAAGGCTATCTGTTCCATCTTAAAGGAAGTTTAGGATTTTTCTAAATACAATGTGGACTCGGAGGGGAAGGGCTAGGCCAGGGAGCCAGCCCCAGCAGTGTTGTTGTTGTTTTTTCTTTTTTCTCTTCTTGTAAATGATCACTTAGAGAATCCGAATTATCAGAAAATCTGTGTTCTCTATACATTGTATAAGTTATAAGTTTCACAGGCAGTTCACAGAACATCATAGGCTCTGAATAACTTGTTCTGGAGTGAGTGCTTTACCTCAGGTGCTGGGATAGAGCCGTGTGAAAATGTCCCCAAGCCTCACGGAGCCCATGTGTCACCAGGGGAGGAGGACATGGTGAGGACTGAAAATTCGCTACGGAACACAGCACCGTGTGGACCCAAGGCCACCTTGACTAGTGCAAATGGGAGGGAGAGGAAGAAGCAGGGCAATGGCTGTATGTAAAAATGCAGCCACAGACTTTTGTCTTTGTCTAGGATTTTAAAAGTCTGTATTGGGATAGGAAAATTCCAGCAAAGGAAAAACATTGCTGGAGTTATGTGACCTTGAGGTGGATTGTGGGATTGACCTCCGTTCAGAGCAGGAACAGCCATAACACACATCTATGAAACATGGGAGGCAGGGTGCATGCATAAGGACATGGGCTCCTGGGCTTTCTTGCCTAATTGCCGCTGTTTCTCAGAGACGGAGGAAACAGCATCAACAGAGACTGAACTAAATGACTGTTGGCATTACTCTACCACTTTTTTCCCCCCTCCCTTGCCCCCCCTCCCGTCATCCCTATCGACCGAGGGTACTCACAAGTAGTTGGCTAAGTTGTGCTCTTGTAATGTGTGTGTTTCAAAGCCATGAGGGGTTGTGTCAAAGTAGTCATTGCCAATCCCACAGATGAAACACTTAGTCTAGAAAAACAACAGAGGTAGTAAAGGTATTAGCAGGCGTGACATTACAGGCAGGTGGGAAAAGGGCGATGATATCCGCTTGAATTGAGACACTGAAAGACATTTCTCTCTCAGGCTTCAGGCACATAGTCATCCACTCCCTGGTGCCACACACTTAGCTCCTAGTA